TAATGGTTAAGACATGGTGGGGTCACTATGAGCCGAAAATGACTCGACAGCACCTAACAACAACAAGAATGGTTGAGATCTTGGGCTCTGTAGCCAGACTGCCTGTGTTCACACCCTGACTCTATCACTTACTAGCTGGGTTTCCCGGCCAACTTATTTAACTTCTCTGGGCCTCAATGGGAATAATAAGCGAGAACTAAACCACATGTAAAACACACCGTATTGTCCCCAAAATGTAGAAATGCTTAGTACATAGGAGATATTACATAGATATTATCTAAGTTATGTGATTTTAAAAAATCACTCAATTTCATATGAAAAACTGTACAGGTATGTTTACTATTCTTTATTTTCTTGATAATGACTAGAAATAACGACAGCTGGCAATTATAGAGTGCTCAGCCCTCAGCACTTTGTGCATGTTAAATTACTAAATGAGATAGTGCATCTCTTATCACATATAATATATAAGAAAAGTATTGTTAAAACAATTCAGTTAAAGTTTTCCAGAGAGTCGACAAATTTTTCCCCACCCAAAAAACACTGAAGACTATCTTGCCAAGTTTCCAAACTCCATATAGTTTAAGAGCAGAAATACAATTTAAAGAGAGATCATGGGAGAAAATGGTTCTTATGTAAGACAGTCATAAAAGAGAGGTTTTAAGAATATAATTATGCTCCCCGACAGAGGACTGAAAGGTTCAAGATGATTAATATACATCAAAGCTCCATTAACAAGGTAAAGAGCAACAGAGTCCTGGGGGGTGACGATTACTCTGGTAGGCTCCCTGGCTTTCTCCAGATAAAGGCTGGAAGGACACCATCTCTGAATTGGGCAGTCTTCGTCTACGCATTTGGCATTCAGTGCAGATGAATCAGTGCAATTCCTCCAAACCTGTCCAGCCTGATCATCACTGCTTTTACTAGGGATAACCCCTGTCTTCGTTGAGCTTATCAAGTGAACACTCCAAAAAATGCAGCCTTTTAATCATGTAATATCATTCTTATTTATTACATCTACAAACCAAATAGAGCAGTAAGTTGCTCTCGAATGAGCAATCCAAGGAGGTAAAGAACACTGAACCAGAGCATTTATAGTTTCTGTGGTTTGTCTCAACTTAAAATCACATTGTTATTAAGATAGCAATAATAATGGCAGCAAGCCTTTATGGAGCACCTACTACATGCCAAGTGCTTTGCACATTTCAAATAACTTAGTCTTTATAATAACCCTACCTGGCAGTTTTTCACGGAGACCACAGGCCCCTAACCCCTATACTGTACAGTCCCGGCAGCCCTGATTCCCTCCCCCAACATGCTACAATTAGTGGAATCATACCACAGAAGCTGTGCTCTGTAAGTGCTCTCTATCATCCAAACGCGGTTCAACTTTGAGCCATCATCTACAGTTCCTCTTATCAAAACTGGAGCCCTGGTGGCACAGTGGTTAAGAGCTTGGCTGCTAACCAAAAGGTCAGCAGTTTGAATCTACCAGCTGCTCCTTGGAAACCCTATAGGGCAGTTCTACTCTCTCCTGTACGGTCTCTATGAGTCGGAATCGACTCGATGGCAATGGGTTTGGTTTTAGTTTGTTCATCAAAATTAATGATAATCTACACATGGTAATCTATAAAATACTGGCCAACTGCAACACTTCTTACACTTGTTTCAACTATTTTTCTAACCTTCTCTACTTAAATGGGACTTATGGACACAAGACTGTGCCTTGAAATGCAGAATGAAAGATCTCTGTGTTCTTCGCTGTTGTTTTCTACTGTTTGTAAGTAAAAGCAATCATTCCATTTAACAGCAATGACACACAATTACTCTCTTTAAAAAGATGGCCAGTTTTAATCAACACTACGTATAGGCTCCCTTATAATACTCATTTTGATGATAATGATGAGCCTCCATGCCAATTTACTACTCACTTAATCTGTAATCAAATTACTTCCTACCTAGGCCATTTCTTGGGAGCATTGGTGGTTCAGAGGTAGAATTCTCACCTTCCATGAAGGAGACCTGGATTAGATTCTTGACCAATGCACCTCATGCATAGCCACCACTTGTCCGTCACTGAAGGCTTGCATGTTGCCATGACGCTGAACAAGTTTCAGCGGAGCTTCCAGCCTAAGACGGACTAGGAAGAAAGGCTTGGCAATCTACTTCCAAAAACCGGCCAATGAAAACCCTGTGGATATCATAATGGTCCAATCCCAACTGATCATGGGGATGGCGCAGGACCAGACAGCTTTCTGTTCTGTTGTGTATGGGGTTGCCACGAGTCAGGGACCAACTGGACGGCAGCTAACAGGCCATTTCTTACAATTCGCTACTAACACACTGAACGTGCATTCCTCTTCAGGTGGAAAGATATGAACTTCTGATCAAAGTCTATCTAATAAACTCTCAAAATTATGGCCCTTTACGACCCATATGACAATTTTAAAAGAAGGTTCCAACAATGTGACATACAATTTGGTAGAGATTTTATGTTAAGAAGTTTTCTGAAGGGGGAACGAAAACATTTCTGCCAACTATTTTGAAACTTCCACAATACTCTTAAAGTAATAATATTGAGAGACTACAGTCCAGGCAGATTTCAAAGTGGTTATAAATACTCGACTTTTGCCTAACCAACAAACCACTTTTTAGTGCATATCTTGAATTCTTAGAAAACAATATCCAACAGTTAGCCTTGGTTGTCTAAATACAAAAGCTTTAAAAATCTAAATCTCAGTAAACTCCTTCCACTGATCCTGAATTTCACATGGGGTCACTATGACTCAGAACTGATCGGAGAGCAACTAACAACAACAACGCAACTATTTCCAGATTATCTAGGCAATGAAAGTCTCTATAGCAATAGTTCTTGACGCTTCTGAGAATCTGATGAAAGTTATGGAATCTCTTCCTTGAGAAGTGCAAATTTCACAAGCTCATTCCTAGGTCCCAAGAACCCTTGCTCTATCTATACCTTGCACCAAATGAAGGGGGAAAGGTGATGGCAACCTCAAAATCTGCGACGAAAACCAAAACTTCCACTTGCTCAATCAATTTGTTAAGAAAAACTGGTCCTTTTAAAGATTCCAAACAAAGGCACTGCAGTGGTGAATTAGTTGAAAGACAGCTCTGGCCAAATGTATTGATCCCACTGCCCTAAACTCCATATGGTGGCAACTTCTTGCCTTTCAGTACTCAGCTCAAATGTCACCTCCTCAGAAAGGATTACTTTCCTGGCTGCCCAATCTAAAGTAGCCCTCAGGCACTCTTTCCCACATTCTTTTATTTTCACAATAGTATTTACTAATATTCAAAAACACTTCACTTATTTTCTTATTTACTTGTTTTGTCTCCCTTATTAGAGTTTAATGGGGCAGTTCTACCTGTCCTATAGGGTCGCTATGAGTCGGAATCTACTTGACAGCAGTGGGTTTGGTTTTTTTAAAATTAGAGTCAAAGCTCCACAAAGCGTTACAAAACAAAGATGTCACTTCGAGGACTAACGTTCACCTGACCCAAGCCATGGTATTTGCAATCACCTCATGTGCATGCGAAAGCTGGACAATGAGTAAGGAAGACTGAAGAAGAAAGGATGCCTCTGAATTATGGTGTTGGCGAAGAATACTGAATATACCATGGACTGTCAGAAGAAGGAACAAGTCTCTCTTGGAAGAAGTACAGCCAGAATGCTCCTTAGAAGTGAGGACGGCGAGACTTCGTCTCACATACTTTGGACATGTTATCAGAAGGGACCAGTCCCTGAAGGACATCACACTTCGTAGAGGGTCAGTAAAAGAGAGGAAAACCCTCAACGAGATGGACTGACACAGTGGCTGCAACAACGGGCTCAAACATAGCAAAGACTGTGAGGATGGCACAGGACCAGGCAGAGTTTCCTTCTGTTGTGCATAGGGTTGTTGTGAGTTGTAACCAACTCGACAGCACCTAACAACAACAAGCTCTGTACGGGCAGTGACCTTGTCTGTCTTGTTCCCCAGTGCCTACAACATTGCCTGGGACACAGTAGGTATCTGATAATTATTTGTTCCACGAATGAAACTAAAAGATTAGATACTGATGTTGGCATCAACTACCGAGAGTTTTAACTAGCTATGAGTTAGGGTTCTCTCCCTCTTTCTATAATCTGCAGGTCCATTAAGTCAGTAAATATTTACTGAGCATATGCTGTTTTACTGAGCAGATACTGTTGCAAGTGCGTGCTGTGAAAAAAATATCTTTGCCCTCACTGACCCAACATTTTAGTGGACCAATCAGAATAAGCAGATCTCTTGCAACCTACAATGCCTGGGAGGTACAAGATAATTCTCTACGTTTCTTCGTTGAGGTAAAGAGCTATGAACCAGAAAAAAAAAAAAAAAAAAACATCAAACCCATTGCCCTCAGTCATTTCGGACTCATAGCGACCCTATACGACTGGGGAGAAGTGCCCCATAGGATTCCCAAGGCTATAATCTTTACGGAAGCAGACTGCCACGTCTTTCTCCAGCAAAAGAGCTATGGGAGATCATCAAATAAAAGGAAAAACATTCTCCAATCGGGCACTTACAAAGCAAGCCTCAGGGGTTCCCCCTAACCAGTTGGGCAGCTCTTCCCACCTACTCTGCTCACCTAGGGGAACCCGAACCAGCAAAGGCAGATCAAGAGAAAACTTGGGGTAAGGGCTACTGCTTTTGAAGACTTGGGGTGGTGAGGAGAGGAACCAGGAAACAAGACAGCGAGAAGTCGTGGCAAGAGCCTTGGGCTGGGAGGCTGAAGAGCCAGCCCTGACAGTCCCCAACTTGCTACGTGACCTTGGGCCAGTCCTGAGCTTCCCGGACATCAGTTTTCCCTGGGGGTAAAATGAGGAGGAGGCCGAGAAGGTGGGATTAGGGGCCCAGGAGTGGGGAAGCGGAAACAAGGAGGCCGACTGAGGCCGGGTCGGGTAACGGCTGGCGTGGGGAAGCCGGTGCGGGGCCAGGCCGGGGCAGCTCACCCACCGAGCGCCACCTGGCAGGCCCTGCGCAGCTGGGAGTGCTGGGGCCGCTTCACCTCCTTGTCGGCCAAGATCTTCTCCAGGGCCCGGGACACGAACATGCTCTTGGTCTGGCTTTCCTGCATGGCACCGGCCCGGCGGGGGCTGGCAGCCCCGCGGGCGGGCGGCTCGAGCGAGCGGGCGAGCGAGGCTGCAACCCCGGCTTCCCGGCCGGTACCCGCCGCGTCCGTCCGAGCCGCCCGTCAGGAAGCGACACCGCGGCCCCACGGCGCCGCCATGTTGGAACGCGTCACGTGACCACGTGACTGGCGGAGCCGCTGAGGCCTCCGCGCGTCTGGCGACCCCGTGTCCCCGGCGGGGCGGGGCCTGAGGCTGGGGGCGGGGCGGGGGCGGGGTCCTATTATCGAAGAGGGGAGGGGCTGAAGTCGGAGGGAGGAAGGAGAAAAGGCGAGGAGTAGAAACCGGCGAAGGGAGGAGGGGACGTGAGGGAAAAAAGAAGAGAGGAAAGGGATGAGAGGTGGTGATGGGGTGAGAAGAGGTGAGGAAAAAAGACAATGAGGAGAATGGGCGTGGAGATGATGGGGTGAGAGATGAGGGAAAGAGGAGGTGAGACAGAAAAGAGAAAGGAAGAAAGACAGAAGGTTGGAAAAACGAATTGGTGAGGGAATGAGACGATAAGGGGCAAAAGGAGGAGGTGTGAAGAACGAGGAGGTGAGGGGGAAGATTGGAAGAAAGAATTGGTGGAGTGAGAGGTGATAAGGGAGTAAGAGGAGGAGGCGGTGAGGACAAAAGAGGAAGCCAAGAGATGCAAAGAGGAAGTGAGGGGTGAGGGAAGGGATGAGCTGAGGCTGAAGGTAAGAGAAAGTGAAGGGAAATAGGAGGTGGAGATGGGAGAGAGGAGGTGAAGGAGTTAGAGAAGGGCTGAGGGGAGGGAGGAGGTAGGAAGAGAAGAGTTCCGGAGAAGAGCAGAGCAGAGGAAAAAAGAAGAGAAGATGAGGAGAAGGGAGAGAAGATGGAGGGAAGAAGGAGGAAATGGAAAAAGATAGTGTGAGGGGGAGGAGGTGAGAAAGAATGGAAAGAAAGCGTGCTTGGAAATGGAGAGAGACAAGGAATGAAGGGAAATAGGAGGTGAAAGGAAGGCAGACAGACAGAGAGAAGGTGTCTTCGTGGACAATTTCCACGAACGGGATTTCACCGTGCCCATCCACAAAACACACAGTGTGCGTACAACCATCCTGTGACCACAGCAGAGCCAACTCCTGGCATCCAGCTCACTTCTGTTTATTGGGTGCCATGTCTGTGCCTGGGGCTGCCAGGAAGGTCTCGCCACAAGCCCACCTCCTCTGGAGTTTATCTGGTCTATTTTCATAAACCTCTGGTCCCTCATAATGCTTTGAGCAGCCCAGGAGAGTTTCCTGTGTTTGACAGAGGAAGAAAGGGAGCTCACCAGTGTCACACAGCCTGCAAGTAGGGACAAGAAGACAGGTCATCTGGCTCGATGGCACCTGCCACTGATACCTCAACAACCATTAGTGATGTCCCCTGGACCCCTTCTTCACACACCACCCGCCTTCCCCAGGAGGAACCATGTGGCTGCTGGGGCTCATGCAAGGACAAGGCCGCTTCTTGCAACCCTCAGAAACCTTTCATGCGGGTGAGCTCAAATGCTCAGGTCTCAGCTCAAGTATCTTCTCAGGAAGGCCCTCCCTGACCACGCAGCAGAAGTAGCCCCCCTCTCCCTATCTGATGATTTTTATAGCATTTTTCTGATTTTTCTTTTTTAACTTGTTGACTTATTTGTGGTCTACTAGAGCCTAGGCCAGGGAAAGGCTGGCTGTATCCCCAGAGCCCGGTAGAATGTTTCCTATGGCCATAAATTCCATAAATTCCATTGCTTTGCAGCAATGTGACTTTGCAGCTCCTTTCATCAGGAGGTGGAGTCTATTTCTCCACCCCCTTGAGTCTGTACTACCCTTATGACTTGCTTTGGCCTATAGAATGTGTTTGCTCACTTACCATCTTGTCTTCCCCAGGTAGAATGTGAATTCCATGAGCTCACAGCTGTATGACCAGAGTACACAGTAGGTGCTCACCAGCTACTTATGGAGTGAATGAATAAATGGAGGAAGCTGGATTTGGGTCCACAGGATTTAATCTTTCACTCAGCAAGTTATTTGGGGGGCACCTTCTATATTTCTGTGGTAGGCACAATAATGACTCCCCAAAGATGTCCATGTCCTAATCCCTAGAACCTGTTACCTTACCTGGCAAAAGAAACTTTGCAGATATGAGTAAGTGAAGGATCTTGATATGGGGAAATTATTCTGGATTACCAGGTGGGCCAAGCATAATCACAAAGGACCTTATAAGAGGGACCCCGAAGCGTCAGAGATGGAGGATGGGATATGATGACGGAAGCAGAGGTCAGAGGGACGTGGGGCCATAAGCCAAGGAATGGGGTGGTGGCTTCTAGAAGCTGGAAAGGTGTAGAAACGGATTCTCCCTTAGAGCCTCCAGAAGGAACAAAGCCCTATTGACCCACTTTGGACTTCTGATTTACAAAATTCTAAGAGAATGAATTTGTGTTGCTTTAAGCCACTAACCCATTGCCGTTCAGTCATTTCAGACTTGTAGCATCCCTACAGGACAGAGTAGAACTGCCCTATAGGGTTTCCAAGGCTGTAATCTTCTCGGAAGTAGCCTGCCACATCTTTCTCCCACAGAGTGGCTGGTGGTTTCAAACCGCCGACCTTTTTTGGTTAGCTGCCAAGTGCTAACAGTGGCACTTAACCACTGTGCCACCAGGACTTCTTAATAAGCTACTAAGTTTGTGGTAATTTGTTACAGAAGCATTAGAACACTAATACAGTTTCCAAAACTGGGTTGGCACAAGGAGCTTCAGCTTTGAAATCAGAGGCCAAGCCTCAAAGCTACCATTCAGTATAACCTTGGACAAGTGATTCTATCACCTTGAACTTCAATTTCCTGATCTGTAAAGTGGGTAATCTTAATTGTAACTTACGAAAATCAAGTGAAATGATGCAAGTAAATCATGTACCTGCACTACCAACCATTCTGACCAGGGACACAACTGATGGTCCTGGGTATAATGGGAGAAAAATGTAGAACAAAACTCAAATTCTTAAAAAAGGCCAGACTTACTGGACCAGTAGAAACTAGAGGAACCCCCAAGACTGTCACTCTGGGATACCCTTTAAACTGGGAAGTCAAACCACTTTAAGTAAGCCAGAAGGAGAAGGAAGGCCATTCCAGGTAGAAAGAATAGCATGATAAAGACATGGATTGGACAAAAAGTGGGTTGAGACTGTAGGACTTCCTTCCTGAACAGAACATGGAGGGGAAAGATGAGGGAGTCAAGGGTCAGTATTAAGCTCTACAGTGCTATGTCTGTAAAATAGTGTGTTTAACACCCTGGAAAGCATGCAACAAATTTTTTAGGGACAGTGTTTGAACACTGTGTTTAACAATGCTAGTTGTATTAAGCTGTATAGTCAGTAGGCATTTAACAAAAATAGAGAGGAAAAAAGTTTGAAAAAGGAAATTAGAATTGTTAGGGTCCCTCACTGTCTTGTGGCCACAGATTGCTAGCCTGACCCAGCTCTTCCATGCAAGGTTCTTGGTTGAGCGCAGCAGAAACAGACCAAGATAGAGATTTCTAGCAGCCTACCCCTACAGTCATTCTTTTCTTCCCCTTTAGCAACACAACCTTGATTGTTAGTTTGGTACCTAACTGTTCAGCTAAAGACAACCCATCCCCACCTTTCTTGCACCTAAGTGTGGTCTGATGATTAAGTTCTAGCCATGACATGTAACAGAGGCATTAAGTGGAGGTCTCCGTAACAGGGAGAGAATATGTCCTTCTTCATCCTCTTGTCCTCCCTTCTGACCAGAATGTGGACACACTGGCTGGAGCTAAAGCAGCCATCATGTACCATGAGGCAATGTGGGAAGTGTGGCCAAAGCACCAAGACACAGGATCCTGGCTCCCTGAAGACTGTGGGCACCATACAAGCCCTGGACTGCTGACCACTGGCCTTCCTTCACAAAAGAGGAAATAGACCCTACAGTTTCCTCATCAGTAAATGGGGATCATAAAAGTACCCACCTCATGGATTTTTTGTGAGAATAATATGAGTCAGTATATATAAAGTACCTAGAATATTACCTGGCACATAGTAGGTACTCTTTGTTTGTTCTCACTCAAAGGACCACTTTATTACTTTATCAACAGGTACCCATTGGGTAGAGCACTCTTTGAGGCTCAGGAGGGCATACAAAAGAGGAGAAGGCTGAACCCCCAGGATCTTATGGTTTATTATCGTTGGGAGGGGGGAACTAAAGGGTCGAAAATAAGACACAGTAGAGAATGAAACAATACAAGAAATAAAATACAATGAATATAGGCAAATCCACAGATAAAGTATATTAGAGGTTATCAGGCTCTCTTCCCATTAGTGTCTGCGAATGGCTACAGGGTATCTTTTTGGGGTGGTGAATGTTCTAAAATTAGTCAGCAAACTAAAAGTCATTGCATTGTACACTTTAAATGGGTGAATTGTATGGTATGTGAATTATATTTCAGCAAAATTACTTTTAAAAGAGAAAATACAGTGGATAAATAACTCTACAATAATCTACAATGCAGAAATGAGAGTTGATAATGACTAACATTTACATGGTGCTTCCTACAGGCTAGGGGCTGTTCCAAGAGCTTTGCTTAGGTTAACTCATTTAATTCTCACAACAACCCTAGGAGGTAGGTACTACTATTATGCCCATTTTACAGAAGAGAAAACTGAGTCTTAGCAAGGTTTCTTGTCCAAGGTCATACAACTAGTTCACATGAGAGTTGGGATTTGAATCTGGGCCATCTGGCTCTTGAGGCTAAGCTTGTAATCACAACACTACACTGTATTTTAAGTTGTCACAACTTAGTATAGAACTAAATAACTTTTAATTGAATAGGCAAATAAATAGACTTTAGGAGATTAGAAAGCCACAGAGGAGGGATGTGAGCTAGATGTTGAAGGATTCTTTGCCCTAAACAAGCAGAAATGCCAGGGGTGGGTATGTCCTTCTATTCCATCAATGTCTTAGTTACTTAGTGCTTCCCTAACGGAAATGCCACAAGTGATTGACTTTAAAAAACAGAAATAGATTTTCTCACCTTTCTAGAGGCTAGAAGTCCAAATCAGGTCTCAGCCATGTTGATTCTTTCTGTGGACCTCATTTCTAGTTTCTGGCATTTGCTGGTG